ATATCCACGAATTCACATCTCCACCAAGTAAGTATAAGTTTGCTATGAAGCGATTCTCCGTTTGAGTGAGTACTCGTAATCCAGGGATCCATAATACCAACGAAATAGTGTTTTGTCGCGAAACCACGAAATTTATGCCCAACGAAAACATCTAATTTCACAGTACATGCCTTTTTTATTCAGCATGGTAACCGTACAAAATTGAAGACGTACACCGCCGGCCCATATTCGTTACATGTACTTGATATAAACAAGCATTTTGTGGGTATTGATGAGTCAATACATGTCCCCTACCGGCCTCCCAAACTTTAACCTTCAGATTTTGGCCAAGATAGTTAAGTCCAAATCATGTCAAAAATNAACTCCCCAAAAAATTAAATTTATTTTCCATTTTCAATCCCCAGTATTAATGCTAGACCCCTAAAGAACCTCTATGTTAAGAATCAGCATCCTAACATCATGATTAAGCGAATGGTAAGCCATTACAAAACTTTAACCTAAACTTTAACCTGAAGATTTTGGCCAGGATAGTTAAGTCTAAAACATGTCAAAAACTCCCCAAAAAATTAAATTTATTTTCCATTTTCAATCCCCAGTATTAATGCTAGACCCCTAAAGAACCTCTATGTTAAGAATCAGCATCCTAACATCATGATTAAGCGAATGGTAAGCCATTACAAAACTTTAACCCAAACCTTAACCTGCAGATTTTGGCGACGGACGGCCGGACGGACGCACGGACGGACGGACGAAGACAGAACCTAAAGTCCCCCAGTTTCACCGTTAGGGGACTAATAACAGAAATTTAGTATACATACCGGTATAGGGACCTACGGATCAAAAAATACTTCCGGTAAGGAAATACAACCTAATTCTTGAGACTTTTTGTTTCTAAATATTAAGTGATGAGATATGGTGTACATATACTTTCGAACGTCCTGCTCATTTTCCGATGTTGAGGCATATCAAAATAATCTATTTCCGGTTTTATTCAAGATCGTTGTATTCACTTAAGCATTGCACTGTTTTTTGTATGGTATTTATGATCTATTTGAATGACACAGCTTTGCAAGCAAACAACATAATGCGCGCTAGTGCATTATGATTTGTTTGCTTGCAAAGCTGGGTCATTCAAATAGATCATAAATACCATACAAAAACAGTTCAATACTTTTATTTACGTTTTCGCTGCCTCTTATGTTCTTTTTTAACTGACAATTTATATTTAAAACTTAAAATTCCCGCCTTATCGACAGCAACACAAATTCGTTCAATAGTTGAAACAGCGTGTTGTCGCGTGCTGATTGGCAAACAAAGTAGTACTTTGAAATTTTAACAAAGACTTCAATTTTATTTCACAATTCAGTATCAATACAATTGCGTATGATATGGTTATATGGTGATTTAAGTTTATCAATAGAACTCTGAGCTGAAAGTTAGATTTGAAATTGTTTCGATTTTCCCCGAAACAAATTTCGCGCCTTGATAAATACAGTGAAAACCGTAAATCCGAACTTGTCCTCCACGAGGGAGTTATTTATGGAAGTTAACTCGAAATTTTCTCTTTGCTCATTTTGTGAAGAATCCAGACGTGAATTTATTTGTTGATTGTATGGGAATCTGACTACAGTCGGTAGATTCTATAACAGCCACGTAATTTGATATGTCGTCAGAAAATGAGGAAACCGTGGCTGCGAGACGCGTGAAACTGATATCGTTTGAAGTGAGTGATCTTCTGATCTTGCGACGGAGCGCAGGGGTTCGTTACACATGTCTGAAATGTTTATGTGTGCTGTGACTCATATCAGTTAGTCTGTAACATATGTGTCAGTAGGTCGATAGAATATGTGTATTTCAGACATTTGTAACGAACCCCTGTTGATCAGTGCAGTGTACAGTAATAGACGATATTTCTGATAAATTGCATGAGCGTAAAAATGTTTCCATTGCCGACATTGGTGATTTCAACCGATGTGCATTTTGTACGATATTGCAGACTCTTGTTTTTGTTGTAATAAAAGTATTTTTTAATTTTTCTTTTGCACATAAATTTACAATGACATTGTCAGTCAAATCTCACAATGCCCAGCGATATTTCAGCAGCCGTCATGTTTATTTATATTGGATATTGTAGTTCCGGTCAGTGTTGTATTAATACGCTAAGAATTGTGTCTCGTGATGCATGGTAATTAAAGTCCCATCAATGACACAGCTTTCAAAGAGGCTATATAGTGACAATGCCATGCAAATGTAAATATTTAGATATATCCTCACGTCTGAAAGGTAGTAATACATCTATCATAAACTGTGCGAGACATACAGATGATTTGAAACAAGTGATGACTTATTATAAGTGGACTGTATCAAAAGTCCCCCCCCCCTTCCTCTTGATTGCAATCTACGAGCTTGGAAAGTGGATCGATTTAATTGTGAATAAACACACGAGTGAGGATATAAATCACAATCAATTATAATACATTCACATCTGTATATGATGTGTTACAGATAAAACATTATTCTGCTGATACTTCCCGAACAATCATCCGACTACCACCCTCAAATCACACGACTATCACCCTCCAATCACACGACTATCACCCTCCAATCAACCAACTATCACCCTCCGACCACCGTCCAATCACCCTCCGATCACCCGTCAATCACCCGACTATCACCCTCCAATCACCCGACTACCACCATCCAATCACCCGACTATCACCCTCCAATCACACGACTATCACCCTCCAATCACACGACTACCACCCTCCAATCATTCGACTACCACCCTCAAATCACCCGACAATCACACGACTATCACCCTCCAATCACCCGCAGATCACCCTTCAATCACCCGAATATCACCATCCAAACACCCGACTATCACCATCCAATCACCAGACTACCACCCTCCAATCAACCTCCAAACACCCTCCAATCAACCGACTATCACCCTTCAATCACCCGACTATCACCCTCCAATCATCCGACTATCACTCTCCAATCACCCAACTATCACCATCCAATCACCTGACTACCACCATCAAGTCACCCGACTATCACCCTTCCATCACCCGACTATCACCCTCCAATCATCCGACTATCACCCTTCCCATCACCCAACTTTCACCTTCCAATCACCCGACTCCCACCCTCCAATCACCCCACTACCACCATCCAATCACCCGACTATCATCCTTCAATCACCCTCCAATCACTATACAATCACCCTCCAATCACCTGACTACCACCCTCCAATCACTCCACTACAACCATCCAATCATCCGACTACCACCCTCCAATCACCCGACTATCACCCTCCAATCACCCGACTATCACCCTCCAATCACCCGACTACCACCCTCCAATCACCCGACTACCACCTTTCAATCATCCTCCAATCACCCAACTATCACCATCCAATCACACGACTACCACCCTCCAATCACCCCACTACCACCATTCAATCACCCGACTATCATCCTCCAATCACCTCACTACTACCCTTCAATTACCCGACTACCAATCACTCGACTAACCTTCCAATCACCCTTTTATCCCCCGACTACCACCCTCCAATCACCCGACTATCGCTCTCCAATCACCAAACTATCGCCCTCCAATCACCCGACTACTACACTCCAATCACCCGTCTATCACCCTCCAATCATCCCACTACCACCATCCAATCACCCGACTATCACCCTCCAATCACCCGACTATCATCCTCCAATCACCCCACTACTACCCTCCAATCACCCGATTACCACCCACCAATCACCCGACGACCACCTTCCAATCACCAGTTTATCACCCGACTACCACTCTCCAAACACCCGACTATCGCCCTCCAATCACCCGACTACTACCCTCTAATCATCCGACTACCACCCACAATCACCCGACCACCATCCTCCAATCACCCGACTACCACCATCCAATCACCCGACTATCACCATCCAATCACAAGACTACCGTCTGTACCACCCTCCAATCATCGGACTATCACCCTATAATCACCCAACTATTACCCTCCAATCACCCGACTACCACCCTCCAATCTTCACAATATTATAAATGGACTGTATCAATAGTTCCCCTCCCCCCCCCCCCCCCCCCTTCCTCTTGATTACAATCCACGAGCTTGGACAGTGGATCGATTTAATTGTGAATAAACACACGGGTGAGGATATAAATCATAATACATTATAATACATGTTCATCTGTTTATGATGTGACACAGATAAAACATTGCTGTGTAAGTCTATTGCTCTGCTGATACTCCCGAACAATCCCCGACTACCACCCTCCAATCACCCTCCGATCACCCTCCAATCACCCGACTACCACCCTCCAATCACCCGACTACCACCCTCCAATCACCCGACTATCACCTTTCAATCATCCTCCAATCACCCAACTATCACCATCCAATCACACGACTACCACCCTCCAATCACCCCACTACCACCATTCAATCACCCGACTGTCATCCTCCAATCACCTCACTGCTACCCTTCAATCACCCGACTACCACCCACCAATCCCTCGACTACCACCTTTCAATCATCCGTTTATCACCTCACTGCTCCCCTTCAATCACCCGACTACCACCCACCAATCACTCGACTACCACCTTTCAATCATCCGTTTATCACCCGACTAACACCCTCTCATCACCCGACTATCGCTCTCCAATCACCCAATTACGCCCTCCAATCACCCCCCCCCCCATCACCCCACTACCACTCTCCAATCACCCGACTATCGCCCTCCAATCACCCGACTACTACCCTCTAATCATCCGACTACCACCCACCAATCACCCGACTACCATCCTCCAATCACCCGACTACCGCCATCCAATCACCCGACTATCACCATCCAATCACCAGACTATTTCCTCCATTTGCGATTTGGTTGGCTGTTATTATCTGATTTTCCCTTCAAAGTATAAATGTACCTGTCATATCGCCAGTAGATATGGATTAAATGTTACGTACCTTGTATGAGACCGAATGAGCTGTTAACAACAGGTCCTTCAATATTTGTACCGTACCATCAATTCTTAGTACTTCCTGTTTGGTAGAAATTTATAAGTATGACGATTCTTGGAATGTGTATAAATGAACTCGTAATTTTTCATGTGATGTTTATGTGCAGTTTTATGTACACAATTACGCAATAGACATTGTCTTGACAGTACGCACAGTAACTATACCCGGATGTTGCTATTTTTTAGCTTATCATCTTACATGGGCTTACCACAGGAGAACTCACCACTAGCCGATATTAGCTAAGATAATGTAGCTTCTGACGACTAGGCCATTCAGGCATTGTCATATAGGCCTATACCGTTTCATATATTGCGTTCGTTTCTATATGTATTACAACTGATACTGCCATGTTGACTACGAATACCATATTTGGTCATGACATCCATATTTAGACGTCTGACCTATATCGGAAGAGAGACGAGGTTGCCATCATGGCGGTCAATTCAGATTTCGATTGTCCTCGCTATGTAAACTTGATAATATAACGACATTTAAGGCAGAGTTTAACTTCATGTTACATATATGAAATCAACAGAAATAGATTGTGCTGTCAACTAATGCTAAAATCGCCCCGGTGTGATTAACATCGGGCATGCTCTATTACAAGGCATGGGATTGATTTGACATCCGGCCGGGTATTATTAGTACTATTGATTGATTGATTGATTGATAGGTTCACGTCCGCTTCACTATCAAGTAGTTCGGTTATCCAGTAGAGGAATGTATTTATACAGTGATATGGCGATGGTGACATTACTGTCCGGAGTTTCCTGCAAGGATTACACAATATTTCTCGATGTTTACAGTACTTCCTGATAGGAACACGTTTTCCTACTTCCCCTACTTCCTTATGTTAGGTTCCCACTGTCGTGGGATCCGTTTCAAACGCCACGATTGGCCATTTGAAGCTGATCAGGGAATTTCTCTTAAAATTCAGTCGATTCGTTCTGATACGATTTGTTGCGCTCGGATGCAATCTGGTCACAATTTGTCAATTTCAGGTGTCACGATCTGTCACGGACTGATCTCCCGTTCAGTGATAATGATAGTGTGAACCTAGTATTAACAAAGGAAAAGTGACCCGCTTGTGAGGAGGGGGAAACTCCCACCTCTATGTCTATCTTTAATCTGAAACAGCACTTATAAACAGTAAATATAACTGTTGCTATTTAGGTTTCAATTTCTATGGCTAATTTTAGTACTGGAATTGGTCTTGCACACAAAGGTACTAACCTCGCATATGTGTTGATTTAGCTGTAAACATCTGTTAACTTGCAATCATCAAAATCCTAATAATCTCAAGATCAATCTATCTTTCCTGAACCTTTAATTGGAGTACACAGTGAATTTTCTGGTGTTATATTCGTCAAACATATACATTATTATTAATGCATATGCATGCCTGTAATCAGAGAATGTACAATGCACAACCTGTAGAGCAGGTAACCAGAAACTCGGCCTTTTGCAGTTGCCGTACCTCACGCTCAGAAATGTCAGGTTTATCATCAGTCATGCGATCGACCATTCACTGTTAGACATTTTATTATTGAATGCGTCCATATTTAAGAAACTCGTGACAAAGGGGAAGTGCCTATAATGACGGTTTGGGCCCCTCGCCGATCTGGCTAAAATTCTACATACTACTACATTGTAGCTATATGGCCATATCACAAAATACACGGAATATCTAAGAAAACTATTTATAATTTTCTGTACGTGTTAATGGGGCTCAAAATATGAGTTGTCGTTTCTTTTAAGAAAAAAAGTCCTTTATCCCTCACTTTCATTCCTTTAAAGTAAACAAAATACATATTTACACTAAATGCTTAGTTTGTTTTTAACGCATACTTATATTGCAAGCTTTTGAAAACATATGTTTCCTTTGTCATACATGGAGTGAAAATGACAGGCGTCCCGGCTCTAAATCGCTGAAAACAACTCACTTAGCCACCTTGTGCCGAGTCAGTAAAATCAACTGTCGGAAATTATGAAACATTTCTCCAAAAAGCACTCCAATACTACAGTAAAATAGGCTGCTTGTCATGATGTTCTGCAAACTGTGTACACTTGTAGCATTCCATACCAACAACCTATCGGCCAAATATCAGTTAACGATTCTAGATCTTTTAGTACTTCATAAGGACTTCTTTAGGCGATTTTACAATTTTCACCATCCCGTACTTTAACAGGCTTCATTCCAGCTAGCTCTTAGCCAAATATTGTGACCCGACACCCTATTGTAGAATTGGTGGTTATGTTGGTGTAAGTGGTAGAGCAAGTGCATGAAGTGTCATTGTTGGTGGTGCTGCCCTTCCAAGTTATAGTGTCCCTCAAGATGGTATTAGTCCTATCAAATTCAGTGGTGGCATTATTCCCCATGGTGTCGTCAGTGATGATGCTTTCCCTATATGTGGGGGTTTGGGTGTTGGTATTGGCTTTGGGATGGGTTTTGTCACATATGCTGATGGAGTTGGATCTAACGATGGATTCAGATGTCCAATATGCAGAAGGAGGTTACGGTGGAGGGTACGCTTTCTTCCTTGGCCATTCTCCTTCTGTACAACATAGATCGCCATAGAGATATCTGGTTAGTCTATTACAGTGTAAATATCATTTTCCCATTGATCAGCTAGCTTATGCTTTCCGTCAAAGGCAACCATTTTCACTAATCCTCTATCTCCAGTGGAAATAAAAGCTCCACGAATGCGCTAGTCATATCGTTCCTTCTGTTTCTCCTCTGATTGTGATGCCTTAGCAGTAGCTATAGTATTAGATTCTTTGAGACGCTTGTGTAAACCATCAACATAAGCAGAACACGAACTGGCCTTGGAATCTGCTCACTAAATGTTAAATGCAAGGTCTATGGGTGCAACCTTGCTTCACGTCCATACATCAGGACGAACTGTGAAAATCCCGTACTAACATTCCTGGGCATTGTTTGCATGCACGGGTGATGACACGTGATCCTTCCAATCAGCCTTCTGTGAATGTTCGATAATTCCCAACATGATCAACAGTGTCCGGTTGACCCGTTCACACTGACCATTACCCTGGGGGTAATATGGAGTTTTTCTAAAACGCACAATTCATGTTAACTGACAGAGCTCCTTCATCAGCTTACTTTGAAAATTGAGGCCTTGGTCAGAATGTATCTGTTTTGGCATACCGTAAAGGATGACAAAGTTGGTGACAAAAGATTCTGCAGTTGTCCTTGCAGTCTCATATATAGTAGGGACGGCTGCAGCATATCGCATGAAGTGGTCCGTAATTACAAATGTACGAATACCTGCTGAAAGTTGCCCTTCGATGGTTCCAGGGTAGAAAATCCATGCTTAACAACAAAGCGGTTGGGACGTGGATATGGACACCATGGGTGCTCTCTCATTGGTAGCAGATTTCCGCCTCAGACATCTTGAACACTCAGCAATCCACTTTTCCACATCAGCTGTCAGTAAAACCTGCCCCCAAAAAAAAAGGAAATTGTCTTGTTGACACCTAGATGCCCCATCTTGTTATGCAGACTATGTAGTAAGTAATTGGCAAGGTGTTGAGGAATAACAAGTTGTTGTCTATGCTCCCGATATACAGCTCCTTCCCTATATAATACTCCCCTAAAGACCATGAGACAGTCAAAAGGTCGATAAAGGTGAGGATTCCATGATGATCAAGACATCTTACTTCTCTTAGGCTTTACACCTCTGATGACATGTTCAATATAGGGTCCAATCACAGGATCTTTCCGTTGTGCTTCTTTAATCTCATAATGAATAAAATGGTCCTTTTCCTGGTCTGTAGTAAAAGGATCCAACTCATGCGGAGTTGTCATTGCTAGGCATATACTCTCTATATAGGGTTGGGCTTGATGCATCTGGCAAACAGCTTCTACACTTTCGCTATCGATGAACGCTTCAGGGGTTCCTTCGTTGGCAGTTTTGACAAGGTGTCAGCATCAATATTGGACTTTCCCGGACGGTATTTGATATCGCAATCGTATGCAGAAATAGCTGCTAACCATCTGTGTTCTGTAGCATTCAAAGTTAGCACTGGTTAAGACATAAGTCAGGGGATTGTTGTTAGTCAACACGGAGAAACCTATATGCAAGGAGTCGCGTTGGCCAAGTGGTAAAGGCGTCTGACATTCTGCTACCACTAGCCTCCACCACTGGGTTGCGGGTTCGAGACCTACGTGGTGCAGCCTCCGGCATTTCTCCACCACCAAAACCTGGCACGTCCTTAAATGACCATAGCTGTCAAAAGGACGTAAAACACATACAAACAAACAAACAAGTCTTGTTGAGGTCAAAGTCATACATATTTAGTTTCAATTGTATAACGTCCAATAATAAAATTCGTGCACATTACACATATCTCGTACGTCTATTATCATTTATCTTATAGTATTCAAGGGCCATTTGGTTATACATTGTAGCTTTACATACACGTCTCCGTTTCATTACCTCATTGAAGGCCAAAGAGATAATAAACAAGTAAATAGCACACTGGACAGCTTGGACACCATGAGGAAACGTCATATGAATATCTATGAAAAGCGTTACGTAAACAATGACAGTATAAGACACGGTACTCTAGTGATAGGACGCCGGGCTCGTGGTCGAAGGGTTACCGGTTCGAGTAACGGCACCACACTGTATTGTATCGTTGAACAAGATACTTTACTCCGCTTGTTTCACTCTACTCAGCTGTAAATGAGTACGTGGTTGGGCAGTGCTAGTATTGCTGAATGCTAGCGTTGAGAGCGCCGAAATAGCATCACCGACTGTATGCCCCCAAGGGGGACTGAGAAAGATATTTGCTGGATGCAAAGGCCCTATAACTACGGATAATAATTTGTGAACCGTTTTGAGACGACCTACGAACTAGGTTGTCATAAAGCGGTTTATAAGAACCTCGAATTATTATTATCCACACACACAGAAGTGTAGCCTCTTACATTTGCACATTTTTATCATCACCACATGAGGATGCTTCCAACCAAAAGAACATTGAGGTCAGCAAGTGCCCCGCTTTATGACTGACTATATATTCTCCATTTAAGAACCAAGCTAAAGTTACATTGTCCACCTTGGTCTTTGGGGAATAGATCACATAGGTAATCTGTATCATTTGCCACAAT